TTTTATCCAGAATAGCACGAGGAATCGATTCATGCAAAAAAATCATAGAGCACCATTCAGAAAGCGAGTGCAATTGCACCGATGCATTGCAGGATGACACAGCTTGTTAAACCATGCAAAACTTTCCTCCATAATTCTTTTCTACCTTGAACAACAACCGAGTTATAACTCCACCTAGTTACTATATACACCCTGTATAAATTTTTCAGTATGCAACACAAAAAATTCGCAAAAAACTGCTAATTTTTCCAACATTTTCAAGTGAATAGCCGCCTTTCAACCCTAATAACATTTTGCATATTCTTCCAAATATGTAGTCCCAATAGCCGATCGAAATGAAACCTGGATGGCTGTTATGACAGTACACACACCACACGTCTACTCAAAAATTCCTCCACGTAAAAGAAAAAAACCAAAGAAGGAAGTGTCAAAGGACTCCAAATATGGGGAATTCAGCCGTTCCAAACACACAGATTCTTTCCTGCGCATTCTAAAATTTCATACTTAGCGACCTTTCACACTCCTCACATCCACCAAATTTCATCTCGATTGTCCTCCAGGACCATTCGTAACGACAGTAAAATTCTTCCATCTAACTACCAAACATATTATCGAACGCTTCCAGTAACCCTGTCGCGCGGTGTTTTATTGCTAATTAACAGCAGGCTCGTTACGGAAACATATTCCACAGGCGGTGTGAAAAAGCACTCTCTTACCTCTAGCCCTGTCCCTCGCAAAGGCATTCTTCCTCCGTCCTGTGGATCGCGCGCGATACCTATGTGTCCGTGTCAGGTGTATACGTGAAATTTCGCAAGGGACGGCGGTGGGAAAGTGGTCGGAAATGTGCGCGCGCGCGCTCATGCGTGTATATATGTATACGTTCTCGAAGAGCGGCCACTTGACGATGCACGAGCGGCGCGAACACGTAGCATTCTATCCGCGGCACAATTTTCGAGGATCGATATATCGAGCGGCGTGTCCCGTCGGTCGACGACGATGTCTTCAAATAGCACGGTAGTTAACGTCTCTGAGAGCCACCCTTCAAGAACGGAGGCGAGAGCGAGAGGAGAGACTACAGGATCCTCCTTTCTCTTCCTCACCGATTTTCTCTTCTGCTTTCTCTTCCTCCGTCATCGCTGACGTTCTTCCTCTGCACCTTCCCTTCTGTCCTCCACCTCCTCGCACCACCGTTTCAGGCTGTTCTGTCTTCTTCATCATCGTCGTCGTTTGGTTTGGTCTCTTCTCGCGCTACTTTTCGTTTTCTGCCGCTTCGATTTTTAATGACTGTAGAACACTTGCTCTCGAGGACTCCAGTGGCAATGATGGAAGACCGTCTTTGTTTCGTGTACAGGGCTTGCGCGCGGTTTTGAAGAATTCGTTTGGTTTTGAAGGGGTTTTTTTTTTTGTATTGGGAGCATTGAAGGATGTGCGAGACAGTTTTGAGTAATTGTGTGATTGGAGGTGAGAGATACAGAAATGTTGGGCGATTTAAAGGTATTGTCGGAGTATCGAAAAAATGGAAAGAATCGAAAGGAATATGAAATATTTTTAGGTAATTGAATTTTTCTGCGAATTAAACGTTCTTGATTGAAGTTGATGGACACACAAGTTTTAGGCGGTTCGCGTTATAAAGGTATCGTTGAAGTTGATTAGCAGAAACGGAGAAAAGATTTATGCCGAGCAATATTCTAGCTATTTAATTGTAAATTTCGAGGGAATCTGTTTCCTGTGTTCAATTTTTAGTAATATTTGAAAATGAAAGATGAAAAGTTTAGAAAATTTGAAGATGAAAAAGTCACTGACGAGAGAAATTTAAAGAATATAAAGAGATTTTAAGATAGTCTCAATACATAAAAATGTACAAAAAATATACGAAGTATAGAAAAATGATGGACTGCAAGTTGCGTGTAATGAACAATACCGAACGTTTAAAGGAAGAAGAAGAACCACAGAAGAAATCAGCGACATTAAAGAGTAAGTTGGTATTTAAACAGATACAGCCAAAGAATTGCATTTTCCGCAGAATGTACAATGAATTTTTAAGAAAAAAATGTGTGCTTTTTCAAAAATTCATTTAATGCAAAATATTGTGGCAGGAAATCAGCTGATCGATGAGCGTTTGATATGCAGGAAAAATGAACAGACTTTGAATTATCAATAATTGCAATTTACTTCGTCAAATTCTCTATTTTACGACTCTTTTATCGAAACTGTTCGATCAATTTTTCACATGAAATTGATCATGCAAGAAATCAAAAAAAGGAAGACATCACCGCTGAAGTAAGTGTACAACTTGTCACCTTCCAATTCGCATCTTCCACATTATTCATTGTCATTAAAACACCATCGTTCACGTTCTCCCCGTTTTATTCAACAATTGAATACATGAATACGTATCACCTAGGATCGTTGATTCAAGTGAGCTTACCACAACACACGCAAGCAACGTCTTCTAAAAGTAAGAACACTTTTCGTTAATTACATCAAATATCCTTTCATCGCGGTTCATCGTCGTCTTACTTTCTTCGTCGTGTTTCGTTCTTCACGTTTTTAAGTTGCAGCCACATCAAAGAAACGTAGAGTAGCCGCGCGCCTTGATATTCTCTTCTCTTCAGCTCTCATTACCCGCGTCTCCGTGGAGGATTGTAATGAATAGACACGCTTTCATTGCGCGCAACTCTACTAACGAATATCTAGCGGTAAAAACAACTTGCCGGCTTCACCGACACGTCTCACGTGTATGTATGTGTCTGTTGAACAGAAATTTCATCGTGCGAGATCTTTGACAAGCGAGTGCGGTGGCTCTTACGTACAAAGTTTAGTTTAATTTGTAGAACGAGTTCGTATTGGTTTGCTGATAATTTAATTAGTTTTCTTTGGAAGATTTACGTTCCTTTTCATTTATGAAAAATGTGTTTCTGTGGAAGTTGTTGAATTGTGTTTTAAGAATAAGAAAATTTTATGAAAATTTTACTGAAAGCCACCCAAGTGATTTCGATTAAAGTTTGACCGAGTACTATAATGATAGCGTTAAATCATTTGAATACAGGAGTTTTTGTAAACTTTTTAGAAAGTTAGGTAATGTTTAATAAATCGTTGAAAAAGTGACGAACGATCATTTTTTATCTCCAAATGTAGGCATTATTTTCAAAATTCGTTTACTCAGTACGTTCAGTAACTGTTTAGGATTCAGCACAAAAAATTTTGGTGAATTTGCTTTTATAGATTCTGAGAAAATAGGTGAAAATGGAGGCAAATGCAGTTTTACAGCAGAGCCATTTTTCGGAATTCATTGACTTATTTCGGTGATGGCTGTCAATTTTCGAAATAAAAATTTATGCATTTCTAGTGCCTCAGAGTTAACCAAAATTTTATCCAACATTGATAATAAAACGAAATTGATTCTTTTGACAATTTTTGGGTTCCCTTAGTAAGTTTAGAAAAATGTAGATTGGATTATCTGCAATAGAAAATTCCAACGTCTTTGAAACTTCACTTCCTCTTCCTTTCATCGTTTCGTTCAACTAACATTTGTACACATATTCAAAGAGACACCTAGCCAAAACATTAACAAAATTTTACCAAACCATGCAGAAAGATGTATATTACAAAAATTGAGAATAAAAAAAAAATTGATTTCTTGTACATTTTTTCGGTTCCCTTAACCCTTATGCATATTTTCTCAAAAGATTTCAATCTCCGGCTAAATCGTCGTTATTTCCCACATTTCCTATCCGCGTTTGCTTCAAGTTTCGAATTTTACCAGAAAACCACTAAAATTGGACGATAAAGTAGGCAACTGTAATTAACAAATCCAAAAATCTTCATGAATTAATCGTCTCAATACACAAACAAATCTCGTCCCAAACCAACATTCAAGCTTTCCAAAAACTCCTCCAAATGGTCCCTAAACGTCCCAAAGTCATCCATCACCTCCAACCAAAACTCACCAGCGCCAACCAACCGTTCCCTTTCCACCCAAAAATCCCATCAACCAACCCCGAAACAAGAAGACACCGTAGAAACCTATATGATCCTTGCGTAAGCGACGCATCGGTACCAAACGCAAGCGGTATCCGCGTGGTCTTCATTCAACCGCTCGCGTTATTCTTCCCGGTTAGCATTCATCGTTGCAATTAACGACGTCGGCCGAGTAGTGTTGTAGGTGCGCGATTACAGCATCGAAACGGGGGAGGATGTCACGGACATGCCGCATTGGGGTAAATTCGTGTCGTTGGAACCATCGTGACGCTTTACGGACCCACCGGGGATTACCACCACTTCTTTTCCACGCCGGTCCTCGCGCTGGTACACTCTCTCGACCCTTTCCAACTCCTGTCTTCATTCGTGTATACGTCACCAGCTCTGCCAGAGAAAGAGAGAAAGAAAGAGAGAGAGAGAGTGTGTGTGTGTTACCCCTTCTTCCCTTTCTTCTTCCCTCTGTATCGAGTTAAGAGGAAGAAGCGCCGCCGGGAGGGTGGCGGTTAAAGGTGTATCGGTGTGCTCTGGTGTTGCTGCTCTGGTCCACCACCTCCAACCGCTACCACCACCGCTACCAACGAGCATCCACCTCCACCTCTGCCTCTCTAACAGCGACGATGAGGATTCTGCAGCTTCGGCAAAGTCGTTTGAAGAAGTCAGTCGACGGTTGCACGTCCTCGCGATTCGGGGAATTCACACGATCAGGGGAAGAGAAAGAAAGAGAGAGAGAGAGAGAGAGAGAAGAAGGAAGAGGCAAAAAGGATTGTTTGATTCAGACAGACCTGACGGTCTTATCGGTTTTTGTTTGTTTTTTTTGTCAACGAAAGACTGTTGTACGATTGTTTTCCTTCTTTTTCTTTTTTCTTTTATCCTTTTGGTTAATACTCGCGGTTATTACATTTTGAAAGCTACACACTGGCTCTTCCTCTGTTCTTCCTGTTCTCCGCTCGTTCTTTGTCGTTCCTTCCTGATTCTGCTGCAAGGAAGATGCGTTGAAGACAGATCGACGAAGGATGTCGATGGACGAGGCACATGGGGGCGGCATGGTTTCCGCAATTCTTTCCTCGGTTGTGCTTCTTCTGCTGCTCGGACGGACCGCGGATGCTCAGTAAGATTTTCTTCTCAGAAAATACGATTCTCTTCTTACCCTTCTCTCCTCTTACGGCTGTGAGACTTGTCGGCCATCTTAGTAAGCCGAGTAACGCCTAGACTTGGAGGTGTTCCTTCGAACGAAGGTCCTTGAAATCTCGATGTTTTTGGGAGAGAGAGGAATTTTTAGTTTTGCGAAATTGTCTTTTTGGTTTGTTCTTGTTTTGTAGAGTTGAAGGTACGATTTTTTTGGGGGAAATGAGGAATAAATTGGGAGTTAAGAGGGGTTCCTGTGAATGGAGGATTCTTTAACTGAGAGATTGCAGTAAAATGTGGTTATCGAAAGTTTTGTACAGTTTTTCCTTTGTTTTTTATGGTTGGCTGATTTTTGAAAGGAGTATTTTGTTAATTTTTCAAGATTTTGTGTAAAGTTGTAGAATTTTGTAAGTTCGCATAGATAATGTTTGTTATTGGAAATAATGTTTCTTCAATTTTTCAAATTTTTTTTAGCAACTAGGAAAATTCGGGAAATTTGTGAAGTAAATATTTCGTTAATTTTTCGAGTATGATGTCAGTATTAGAATGATTCTGCGCAAAGTTATTATGGTCGTTTGTGTAAGTGGAATTTTGTAAATGTGTCGAAAATAATCTCTTCGATTTTTCAGTTCCTTTTAGCAAGGAAAATTAGAGAAACGTAAAATGTAGCCATGCTTGATTTATTTTCTAGCAAATTTTTAGCATATCCCCGCAAAATTCTTAAATTCTTCAATTTCTTTTAGCAACGAAGAAAATTAGAAAAATGTAAAACGTAGTTCTATTTCATTTATTTTCTGGCAAATATTTAGTACAACTACGCAAAATTGCGAGAAAATATTCACATATCGTTCGAACTAAATAATACAGATTTATTAGTTAATATCTTCTATCCTGCGTAAATTTAATATTTATACTTTTAAGTAAAAATGAATGCAGCTTTCCTGGAAGAAGGTAACGCGAATACACGCACAAACAGGATTGTTTAATCGAACCTTGTTTTAGCCGTTTCGATGCCCCAAGTCGAAAGCAGAGGGGACTCGAGGCACGATGAAATCACCGCCAAGAAATCGAAAGCTGTTCGATGAAATGTCGGAAGTATAAATATTGAAAAAAGTACCGAAGCGAGATTATAGTGAAATTCTCAAAGTGCAACGTGCAGTGTGCGACGAAGCTGCTGTTTCAAATTCTACGCTAAATTTCACGTGAAATCGAATTGTGCGAACATGTAACTATTTCACGAAAATGTGTCAGAACGCACTTTTCACAACGTGTTAAAGAGAAAAAAAGAATATATGACAGTGTCGCGAGAAGCAATTCTGAATGTTTCTTTTTTTTGTGAATTTCAATGGTGATTCTTCGCTTCGTGTATTATGTGTGCATAGTGTGTCGACGCGCAGTGAAATCTCTTTTTCGCGACGAATAAACAGTGCGAAAATCTCGCGAAACGTTTCGTAAAAAAATTGTGAAGAAAACTGGAATTAATTTGTAACTAATAATTTAAAAAACTAGAATTAATTTGTGACTAATAGTAAAGAAACTAGAATTAATTTGCGACTAGTAGTGAAAAAAAACTAGAATTCATTTGCGACTAATAGTGAAAAAAAACTAGAATTAATTTGCAACTAGGAGTGAAAAAACTAGACCTAATTTGCGGCTAATAGTGAAAAAAAACTAGACCTAATTTGCGGCTAATAGTGAAAAAAAACTAGAATTAATTTGCAACTCGGAGTGGGAAAAAACTGTATTTAAAAAAATTCTTAGCCAATTATTGTTGTATTTCCGTTGAAATCTTGAGATTTTGTTGTAACAAGTTCGTTAAATGGGAAAATCGTTTCTATTCGTTGAGTTTTATTAATACAAAATGTTTATGTGGCTATCGGCATACGAAGTCTACGTGGTTCAATTAATGAAGTGAGCTGTTGAGTTTTGCTGAAGTTGCGATTCGAAATTTCAGGAGGAGCTTGGAGTTCTTCGATCTACTGCCAGAAGACCCCAAGCTTTACGATAAAATGCGACCGCCGAAGAAAGACGGACAGGCGACCGTCGTTTATTTCCACGTCACCGTTATGGGACTTGATTCCATAGACGAGAATTCAATGGTACGATGTATTTTCAATAGGTACCTTTTTTTATTCGTTTGAACATTTGCAAGTTACTGCTTTTGGAAGGCACGACGTGGTATCGAAATGAGATGAAATTATTTCTATTTAATTATATCTCGCTATTTTAATCTATGTATTTATTTTATTGTTATTTTAATCTAATTAGCATCGTGGAATTGATAATTTAACGCATCAGGTCATTCCGTAAGTTCGCGTCGAAAGCAGAAATATATTAACGAAAATCCAAAGAAATTTTTACTAAAAAGTTTTGCCAAAAAAAAAGAAGAATAAGAAAAAGATGTAAAATGAGAAGAGGCTTACGTTTCTTTTTTATCAAATTTAAGGGTTTGTTGGAAATATTGATCTAAATTGTGAAATTCGACAGGAACTTATGTAAATTCAATTTTAATTATCTCGTGTTAATTATTTCACCTATTCTAATTTAATTACTTTTCATTACCTCAATCTCTATAGCATTGCATTTTATTAATAAATGCTGTGGTATTGATAATTTAACTCATCCATTATACCGAAGAGAATCTAAATAATTGTATCTTACTTAACTAACGTTTCAAATCTTATTCGCTTGTTCAACGAAGAAATTTCGTTAAGTATATCAAAGTGACTAAATTTCAACAAATAATCCATACCGAATGCTAAGATATCGATTACCGTGATTTTTCTATTTTTTCCAGACCTACGCAGCTGATATATTCTTCGCTCAAACTTGGAAAGATAACAGGTTACGATTACCAGAAAACATGACATCCGAATACAGGTATGCGACTCTGTATTACCACATGAAATTATGGTAGTTCTGCCATTTTTAATAATTACGTGACAGTTGAAAATATTGTTTCTTCAATAGAAAATGTCGGAAAACTTCTTCAACGTAAGAACTAGATATCTTTAACCCTACTGCGTTCTTCGCTTTGACTGTACGTTACCAGAAAACATGACATCCGAATACAGGTATGCGACTCTGTATTACCACATGAAATTATGGTAATACCGTTACCATATGTGACAGTTGAAAATATTGTTTCTTCAATAGAAAATGTCGGGAAACTTCTTAAACGTAAGAACTAGATATCTTTAACCCTACTGCGTTCTTCGTTTTGACTGTACGTTTAAGACTTTTGGGTGAAAAAGGACCTAAGACCTTGTGTGTAATAATTTTTGTTTCCAACGCGACATATGAAGCTGGACAATAAACGTTTAAAATAATGTTAAGGAACGTAAACTTGATAACAGCAAAAATTACTAAAAATAAAAAAAGGCGGTGGATCAAAAAAGACCAGAAGACCGCTCTAGGGTTAGGTATTCGAAGAATACGGAATTCTACTTTTAAAAAAAAAAAGGAACAATTGTGATAATTTTTAATACGCTTTTCTTTTGCATTGAAAATTCAATACGTTCATCGTTGAATTGTGTAATTCAAGATTACTGGAAGTCGACTGGCTGAAGAACATGTGGCGGCCGGATTCGTTCTTCAAGAACGCCAAATCGGTGACATTCCAAACGATGACTATACCGAACCACTACTTATGGTTGTACAAAGACAAGACTATTTTATATATGGTCAAGTAAGAAACGTAATCACTTTCGTTTCAATTTCACATTTATTTTCCTTGTTACACCTCTTCTTTGCTCGCCAAAAAAATTACACCTAGAATTTGGGGTCATTTTTAACCAAATTTGAGTCATTTTCCCCTTTCAATACCGAACATCATGAAAATTACGTTAATGATAATAATTATTTATAATAAAAATGTTCAATTTCAATAAAGTTGCTGTTTCTTCCAAACTGAACGGCTTAAAACCGCGGGAATTTTTAGAACGACCGAATACCATTGGTACTAATCACACTTGTTCGTTGCACGGTGTTTCAGGTTAACTCTGAAGCTATCTTGCGCCATGAACTTCTTGATCTATCCCCACGACACGCAAGAATGTAAATTACAAATGGAGAGCCGTGAGTAAACGCATTCTTCACGACGAACTTCCTGAGAAAAAAACCTTCCAAATTACGTACCTTTAAATAGCAAAGTAGAGTATTGATCCTCGGACAGCGGATGGCCGGGTCAAATGTGACCCAATACTAAAATCTTCGTACGCAAACGAAACCACATTTTTCCATTTCACTACGCACTATATTGTTCATCGTTACCAGCGTGTTTCACGAACTCTGACGAAGTGATCTGCAATGCTTACGAAACGTCGGAATACTTTTTCCACAATGACACGACTTACACTCGAAAGCCTCGGTAATAATTATATTGTTTAACACTAAAACTACCAGCCGAGTGAAAATGACCCATTAGCGACTTTCCAAAAGTGAATTTTCATACAAGTAAACCGTGATTGGACAAAATTCCATTCATATCGACACAAATAGAAGCATACACGTAGAAAATAAATTCGGAAAGTTACAAACGATGACACTTACCAGTATCGAACATTCACGTTTCTTCGAAAGATTCTAATGAAAATGAAAAATTTTTTCACAGTCGATAATTTCAGTGTTAATATTACACAAATATTCGTAATACAAGGAAAGCAGAGTCGCGTCTCCGTTTCGAATTCCAGTCGAAACAGGAGAAATCTAAAAGCTGGGTCAAAAGTGACCCGGCCTCCGTCGTCGGAAGGTTGACCCTTCGAGAGTCTAATAAAGTTACGAATTACGGTAAAAAAATTTACATTTCACACGATTTTTGAACCAAGGGATACGTAACCCTACGTCATAGTTATGACAATAATATCAAGTCCCTTTTTTATCCCTCCGTCGGGCGCACCTGATCTCTCAGGCACAACCATAATTCATCTATGTATACAGGGTGTCCCGTAAAGAGTGTAACACCCGGAAATGGGGGGTTGCTGGGGTGACTCTGAACAAATTTTTCCTTGACCAAAATGTTGTTTGAAGCTTCGTTTTCGAATTATTAACGAAAAACACTGGCCAATCAGAGCGCGCGTAGAGCCCGCGCTCAGGTACGGCCGAACAGAGATTCACCCGCGCACTATCGTGGACATGCGTACGCGTGAATCTTTATTCGCCCGTCCCTGAGCGGGGGCTCTACGCGCGCTCTGATTGGCCAGTGTTTTTGGTTAATAATTCAAAAACGGAGCTTCAACCAACATTTTGGTAAAGGAAAAAGTTGTTCAGAGTCACCCCAGCAACCCCCCATTTCCGGGTGTTACACTCTTTACAGGACACCCTGTATAGACGCGATGCGTTGCGCAATGAATGTGCAAATGTGCTCAAAATGTCGATGTTTTTTGTTTACACTCATGTTCTTCTATTATTCCTATGGTTAGTTACTTTCTACTTGGTAAAAGACCTCTTGAAGGCCGATCTCTAAGATCCAGTGCGCCCGACGGAAGGTTAACTTTCTTCCTAACAGTCTCTCTTGAGCTAAACGGTTAAGATAAACTGTCCAAGGGTTAACAAACCAGATTATCCATTATACCTCTTGCTTCTGTCATTTATACGAATTCATCG